TATATATATATATATATATTTATATATATAAGAAATTTAAGATTATCAAAAATAAAAAACAAAAATGAATAATAAAAAGTCACCTGACTTTAAAAAACTAATAATAATAAAATGAATGATATATAATAATAATAATAATAATAATAAAAACGATCCACACGAAAGAATAATAAAAGGGATCCATAAGAAAGAATGTTTGGTGTCCATAGAAAAAGCTTTAAAGTAACTAAAATCCCCATCCAATGAATGAATGCGCTATCCGATTATTAACATGCGAGTTTTTTTGGACTCAAATTAAAAAAAAATACATTTTTATCTGACTCAAACTAAAATTGAAATTATTTTAAGTTAAAATCTCAAAAGGATGACATCTTTGGCATGATTATAGTTAGAAAAATTAGGCCTTCTATCATCCTTTGTTGTATCAATTTTATGGGCATTACAACTTGACTAGGGGGGCAATGTTGGCTGCAATCTCAAATAGATGTTCGTGTTAACATCTTCAGCATGGTTATGATCCATTGTTGTATGAATTTTGGCACTAATACTGATGTTAGTTGACTAATCTCCCATCTTTGTTACCAATGTCGACAAACCCTCGTATATATGGTCAATGTTAATAGCTAAAGATATTTTCAGTGAGTTAAAGAAATGCCATGTCATCATGTACTTTCTTGTTTTTCTGTTATTAGAATTCCTATATATATGTGTAAGCTGTAATAAACATTTGGTGAATAAGATTAGTTTTCTCTCTTCATTCTATTCGTCTCTGTTCTGTTCCGTCTCTCCCACCAGGATTCCTGGTTCTTCACATGGTATCAGAGCTTTGAAGCTCTACAACGTTTTTTTTTTTTCCTTCTCTCTTCCTCTCTCTCGAATCTCTCATGGGGGACGAAGCTTCTGTCGGTTCTCACCGGCAACAATCCATCATCTTCGGTCAAGATTCCGATCCGATCATCCCTATCCACCTCAAATTTCTAATCTCAAACATCAAGAACCTTGTTCATACGATTCTTACCTCTGTAAATTACGTTATCTGGAGGCTTCAGCTCCAACAACATTTTGCGGCCAACGGGTACGACGGTCATCTCTCTAGCGTCGTCGTCTGCTCGCAGGATTCCACCGTTCAAGATCAAAATCGCTGGCAATTGATTGATCGCAATCTAGTATCGGCTTTACTATCCACAATCTCTCCGGGCATTCTTCCATATGTGATCACCCTTCGCACCGCCCATGACATTTGGGTCGCGCTGGAACGTCGTCTTCAACCCACAAATCGTTCCCGTGTCATTCAGCTAAAGAACGAGTTGCATCAAATTCGGATGGCCGATCGGACAATGCAGCAGTATATTGATCAAATTAAGAAACTGGTTGACAACATCGCGGCGGCAGGATCTACGATGGACACCGAAGACATTGTCTTGTACATTCTCAACGGGCTTCCCACCGGCTACAACTCGTTCAAGACTGCAATACGAACGTCGCTCCAACCTATTAGCCTTGACGACCTGTACTTTCTTCTCAGCAGTGAGGAGATAAACCTCCAACATCAACTCTTATAAGACAGCCAACAATCTAATTCCATGGCACTATACAGTAGCAGATCTAACAACTACCGAGGTCGACAAAACAAATTTCGTGGTATAAACTTAACTCCTCGCTCATAACAGGGTGATCGGAAACAACAAACAGCTGATGTACAAACATCTGCTCGCAACCAGCAACCAAGAACGATATGTCAAATATGTGGAAAGATCGGATATACAGCCGGGAACTGCTGGCATCGTCAAAATCTTAACTACACGCCTCCCACAAATTCCAGAGCACTCTCTGCTCAACAGCAATACGCGGCGACGAACGACTGGATTCTTGATTCCGGCGCCTCCTCCAACCTAATGGCCGGTGCGACAAACCTCCAACAATCCGCACCTTACACCGGCTACGACTCGATTTCCATCGCTAATGGTAGCAATCTGTCCATACAAAACTCGGTACAAGGCTTGATGCCGCTTCCCGAGTCTCAGCGTAAGCTCTACCTTAAAAAGATTTATCACGTGCCTTCGCTAAATCATAATCTCCTGTATGTTTCTAATTTAGCATCTGATCATAATGTGTCCGTCTCCTTTACCGCTAATGAATTTATCATAAAGAATCTACAGGACAACAAGGTGCTTCTCCGGGGTCCCAAACGTAATGGGCTCTACCACATTAAGGCTCCCATCAGCTGCAACAAGGAAGCACTCACGATGACCTCATCTGCCAAAATGTTATGGCGCATTCTCGCCTTGGTCATGGCAGGAAACTTCAACTTCTGGCTAAACTAGATCCGGAAATTACTGCTTGCTCTCAATTCTGTTTGTGTTTCTTGTAATGTGTAAAAAAGTCACAAAAAATCATTTTATTTTAGTAGTTCTGTTTGTAATAAACCCTTCGAGCTTGTTCACTCGGATGTCTGGGTCCGGCTCCATCTTGTTCTTTAAATGGTTTTCGCTATTACGTTACTTTTATAGACAATTTTACTCGGTTTACTGGTTGTATTTACTCCATACCAAAGATGAAGTACTAACTAAATTTCAACAATTCTGCAATTTCGTGACTAACAAGTTCAACACCAAAATTAAAATGTTCCGGTCTGACGGCGGCGGTGAATTCACTAGCACCGCTTTTCGATCATATCTGAACCATCACGGCATTACTCATCAAGTGAGCTGTCCGGACACACCGGAGCAGAACGGCACCGCTGAACGCAAGATTCGTCATCTTCTGGATCTTACACAGACACTTCTCCACGCCGCTCATCTACCCATGTCATTCTGGGTGGAAGCTGTATCAACCGCCAATTACCTCGTTAATCGCCTTCCCTTATCTGCAATTCAAGACCAAACACCCTACTATCGGCTGCATGGCTGTCAAGCATCGTACTCTCATCTCCGCACTTTCGGCTGTCTATGCTTCCCATGGACAAGGCCCTACGCTCAGCACAAACTCTCCTCTAGATCTCAGGTTTGCATCTTTTTGGGCTATTCGAGTTATCACAAAGGCTTTCACTGTCTCCAACTATCACAGAATAGTCTCTTCATTTCCCGGCACGTCGTGTTCTACGAACACATTTTCCCTTTCCCGACGCCAACTGCACCCGAGCACACAGAACCGAGCCCAGGCTGTCACGACCCAACCCGACCGGGACGGATCCCGTTCGCATCGGGCCGCGACACATCCAACAAATCTAGGATATGGCTTTGAAATTTGCTTCAGAACTTTCTTCCAAATATAACACAGACAGAAAAATACAGAGCTATTATAAACATCCAAGTACAGCGCAGTTCATCTATCTTTCTTTCATCAAAATAATCATATACAGATACAGTGCATGGCTTCAGACAGAAAGAATAGAACAGAACAGAAAAGCCACGATTGTACAAAAATCAAAAGTATCAAGTACCTAATCCCAGATCAGACTCAGAACGTCTAGTCCAAGACCTCATTCCCTTTCCCAG